GTTGTCTATGACAAGATTCTGATTGTGTCAAATTACTTCATTTTTGCAAGCTTTTCTATCTAGACTGCTCGTTCCTCAATTCCTGTGGTTATGTAAAATACGGAAACTTAAAATCTAGAATTTCAAATTGAGGTTTTTAACAAATTAGACATCAAGTCTCCAGATATGAAAAGTTTACAAGCCTAATAAATTTAATCTAATCCACATGCTACCTCCATCAAACTTTTTGTAATTAACACGAGAATGCGAAAAATTCACAAACGCTTTAATAGCAGTAAATTATTTTCTTTCATTAACACACAACAAATCATTTTTCATTCAGTACTGGGCATGATTTAACATTTTTGACATACCGACGTCGTTGTTATTCATTTATCCATAACATTGACAATGTGGACAGTTTGTAAATGCTTTATAGCTTTTGTGTGAGGCGCTTTATTAATTCTTATGGCGCTGTAGGTAATTTTCCTATTTACGAAAGATAATCGTCATGTTTGATCAATTGGTGTGTTAACAAATCGCTGATACATGCTCGTTAACATGTAACTAGGTGCTTTCTTTTAAGGGAATGTTAGATGAATATAAAAATTTATGTGCTCAGAATGGCAATAAAAAATTAATTGGGATTATTTTATGTAAAATATTTTCATATGATTCATTTTTATGATCATTCAACGAGCTTGATTATAAACAGTCAGCATCATCTTAGTTGGAATTTCCTAATCTGATTTGAAAATTAAGCATTTTTAGAATTCTCGGAGTTTATTCAATCGAATATTCTAAGCATAAAAGGAAGTATGGTATAAATTTAATTGAATTGAATAATTTTCGAATTAATCTACGGCGCCGCATTAATTTTGCGTATTCAGCATGCTTGAATTTCTTGTTAGATCGCAAAAGCTGCAGTGGACTTTTTATGGAGACTATAAATACCTATCAATAATCGATTACTTTTGCCCTTAAAATTCCATTCCGTCTCATATTTCTTTATTAATTCTTTCTCATAAATAGACACAATCGTGATCAATGCGCTTTGCGAATTTCCATATATGTACAATCGATGCATTGAGTATGCACTAACAATATTAAATTATTCATAAGCAAAAACGTCACTTCGTTGTACATTACCATGAATTGCTTGTTATTTTACTTTCTCACACCCGCATTTCTATTAAGGTTATTCTCAATAATGATACTTGATTGAAATGTATGATGCATGAGATCACTGACTAGTTGAGAAATTAAGTCGCCTTCGCAAATGTTTGGGGTCATTCGTGAGTTGTGTTTTGTTGGTATCATAGATTGAGGGGAGGTTGAATAAATAGAACTGAAGAGATCAAACTTAGAAAAATCATAATAAATAGTCCCGAGAAACTCGTAAATTTCTTAATTTCCTGTAAAAAAAAGAATCTTTAAAATCTCATCAACAAAATCGCCCACGAAGCAAACTTCAATGGCGCCAAATTGATTAAAATGGTCAAATTCACACGTTACTCACCAGAATCACGCAAACTATTCATTTGCCAAATTTTCGTCTTGATCATCGGCGAATCTTCAATCAAATCACATTGAAATGTAACGAAAAATGTTATTTATATCCACAGCTTGAGTAATTATTACTTTTGCTTACCTTTTTACACACTAAATGAATCATTAGACACGCTCACACAAAACCACCTTCTGGCCCTAACAGAAATACAAAAAAATAGCATCCCGCATGTAAAAGAAAAGTTGAGAAGATGAAAACATAAACTTAGTTTAAAAATAGATTTTATTAATTCACATCTCGTGTTTTTTTTTCTGAAGCAAAGCAAAGGTTTTTCATGCGGGTGGATAATGAGTAGAGAACTGATTCTTTTACCTCACTATGTATTTTATTTTGAGGGGATTTTTTGTTTTAATTATTTCATGAAACATCTTATGTAACTGTGTCATTTTTCACTGAATTTATGATTTATTATGACTGTTGATAGACTTTTCATGTTCATGTTTGTGCTTTATCCAGTTTTATTTTTATTGCCTGCTCAACTTGTTGATCTGAAGGTCGGAAGTCATTTGCAAGGAAAAAGTTCATTGAATTTTCATAGGAACTTGTTTAAATCTTTAAGATTCCTCTTGAGCTTCTGTAGAAATCGCTCAGGAACAAGTCTCCATCTACAGCTACATCTTTAGCTCATTATGGAAATTCAAATTCTTATTAACTTACCCAGAACTCAATTAAGTCAGTTTACTAGTAAATTTATGTTTATAAGTTCACAGAAGAACGGAAATGCATTAGACATAGAACTAAATATTTTTGAAAAAATCAATTTCAAAGGAATTTCAATTTTATGGCTTCAATTGAACATTAAAGTTACATTTTCTTGATAAGAGAAAAATAATATGATTTACTGACAACACATGAAGTCACTAGACATTGACTTAGCTAGTAACATATTTTTGAATTATGAAGTAGAAATTATATTTTTGGTGCACGTTTAATTCTTTCCTCATGCTGAATTTTAAAAAAGGTTATAAATTTCGATAAAAATTGATATTTTTATCCTGCCTCTTTCGACTAGCACGTAGTTGCAATAAATCTCTAATTTTTCAAGCTACATTCATGCTCAAAATCTATCAGCCAGCGGAGATAAAATGAAAATATTTTTTTGTCACCAACTCGTGTGTCTCCTGATTTCACAATTGCAATTCTCAGTCATTAATAAAAGCAATAAATCTTTAATCTATTTACGCATTCATATCATCACTCTTATTGATTTTGCATATTTCATAGCTCACATCATCAATGAGAGAATATCTTATTTTTTTGCTCCATACAAGAATTTTCATTTTGCTTCCTCCATAACTTCAAATGAAAATTCAATCGTTGATTTTCATTGTATATACTAAACCATATGTTCCGTTTATACATACATGTTGGCGGAATACGTTCAACGTAATGAAGAATAATGTAAAGAAGCAAATGTAGAAACATTTTGTGATTGTTCAATTTTTTTTTTGCTTGAGGAAAATCGAGGGAATCGTTCATAAATGATATGAAGGAATACACTTGGATTTAAGGATCTTAAAAATCTTTGTCATACAATATTGAAGAGAGCTATCTTAACTATTATAACTCTCATTTCCCTAAATCCTTTACGTCATTTACAAACGACTCTAGAAAATCTGAAATTGTACAGCTTAGATTTACGACTTCAACTTCTAAGATTAATGATATCATTCACATTTACAAAGAGTCAAATCTTCTTGAACATTTCTAGTCTATTGAGAGTTTGATTAGCCAAAAAACTTGATACTTTTCATTTGTTAACGAATAAAGTCAATAACCGCGGTTCTTACTGGATGTAGAGATCTAAATATATCATTTAACAGCACTCGTCAAACATTTTCAAAATGCCAACTTTAAAACCCAAAAATAAGAAATTTTACAAACTTATTTTCTTGTAAATCACAATCAGACGTGACAGTTAGCATGTTCTATCTCTTTTCCTCACAAACATCTAATTAGACAACTCAAATTTCACGCTCTTTTCACCCACACGTCTTTGTTATTTTTGTTATTCTCGTCATTTATTACATATGTATTCAATGTCAATAGTGGCCAAAGCAGTAATAACAACAGGTACCATAAACACCGACTACATACAATAATGTGCACTTGCTAGTGAGTAAATTATTGAGTGTGCGGTTATTGAGTTACAAAATAAAAATGTTTACAATCCTTCGATACAAAAATGAAGTGCAATAAATGTCCAATTATGCCGAGTCAATAAAAATCATTCGAAATGTAATATGATATATTGATATAAGACATCGTCAATATTTAGCTTCCATTGATTATGTTTCATTGCTCGTCCATAATTAGCAGAAACAGAAGAAAAAAAATTATCAAAAAAAACTTAAAAAATTTTGTTTATGAAAAGAGCCACTTGAAGCTTCTTTACGAAATACACACAAGAAGCAATACCCACACGTAAATGAGGATGAGAGAGATGAAAAAGAAAATTATTTAATACTTTACACGATGACCACATCAGAGTTGGTGAAGAATATTCAAGTTTATTTCTAAAATCATTCAGAGAATTGTACAAAATTAAACTTGAAATTTTTCAAAATCTAAACTATAGCTGAGCTCATCAAACTTATTAATCACAATCCCAACCTATCAACTCTGTAAATTCACAGAACGATGATTTTGTGTTTTTAAAATAAAAATTGAGTCATCTACTTGTATTCAAGCTTTTGTTACTTAAATATGTTATTAAACAGACAGACGAGACTGAGATAAGATGAAGAAGATTCAGATTATTGGCAACGGAAGTCTGAATGTTGACAAATTTACGATGGGATAAAGATTTTAAGTCCAAGATAGAAAATGCATATTTACTTTTGTGCAATTTGTTGATCTTTTTAAGAGCAAATGTCTTTAAATTTTGTGTCATGAAACGTTTTGCTTTTGTTGTCTGTCTGATTTCAATGTTTTGTTGACTGTCCAAAAATGGAAATATATTGGTTGCAGATAATACTTTGAAGCATACAAAACTGGCTTATCTCTAATGACTGTATCATCCTCAAATTACGTCTATTGACCCAGAACTTTAAAATTCTATGCGAATTTAGGTCATCACGTGGTTTACAATTTTACACTCATGAGTTTTAAATTTCTGATAATTCTTGACATCTGTTGAAATAATTTTGTTAAATATATCAGCATGATACGTGGATCAATTTCCTTTAACCAAAAAGTATTGGACCAAAATATTTAAGAAACATTACCAAATTGGAACAAAAATACCTGAATTGTCGCCCACGATTTATGCTAATTAAAAGTAAAATACCGAATGATCAGAATGTCGCGGCGCTGACTCTTTCCAAAAAAGGATAAAATCAAGCGATTCTGATTGAATTTAATCGCAACTTTAGTTCAAAAATATATATATTGACAGATTTACATCACACAAATCACATTCTCATAATTCTCACTCTGTATATGTGTTTAGGTGTCAAGACTGGTAATTCTCCATGAAGAAGCAGAAGATGGCAATGCTATGCCCGATTTGTCAAGACCTGTCCAGGGAGTATCAATTGCAGTGACAAATCTGGTTAAAGTCGGCCGTGAAACAATCAACAGTTCTGATGATCAGATTCTAAAACAAGACATGCCATCAGCATTAATACGAGTCGAAACTGCTTCACAATTGTTGGAAGAAGCTTCACAACTTTTACGAGCCGATCCATATTCAGGGCCAGCACGTAGAAAATTGATTGAAGGATCACGTGGAATTTTGCAAGGAACGTCACAACTTCTTTTATGCTTCGATGAATCAGAAGTTCGTAAAATTGTCCGTGAATGTAAACGTGTCCTTGACTATTTGGCAGTCAGTGAGGTTATTGACACGATGGAAGATTTGGTACAATTTCTTAAAGATTTAAGTCCATGTCTTAGTAAAGTCTCACGTGAAGTCAGTAATCGTGAAAAAGAATTGACTCATCAAGTTCACAGTGAAATTCTTGTGCGCTGCTTGGAACAAGTAAAAATTTTGGCACCAATTTTGATCTGCAGTATGAAAGTTTACATTCACATTATCGAACAAGGTGGTAAAGGTTCAGATGAAGCTGCTGAAAATAGAAATTATCTTGCCGCACGAATGACAGACGAAATTCAGGAAATTATTCGTGTTCTTCAATTAACAACTTATGATGAAGACACTAGTGAACTCGATAATTTGACAGTCCTCAAGAAATTAAACAATGCTATTCATAATAAGATGGAAACAGCCAAAGACTGGCTTAAAAATCCATACGCACTTAAAGGTGGTATTGGTGAGAAGGCATTACGTCAAATTATTGATAATGCACACAAAGTTGCCGATCGTTGTTTGCCAAGTGACTCATATCGCGTTCATAGAAATGCCGATGATTTAACTGCAATGGCAAATGCTTTGTGTGAATTAAGACAAACCGGAAAGGGAACATCACCACAAGCTGAGTCATTGGCACGTGAAATGATCGATAAATTGGACGAAATGGATCAAAATATTTTACAAGCAGTAATTAATGTTGACAAGGCTGGTCTTCAACAAACAGCTCACACTGTAAGTGTTTGGATTATATCTCAAGGATGAATTGAGTGACAAAGTGTAAAATAATTGGAACTCAATATGACGTTTTGGATGAGAAGTTGCTGAAACTTCAATCATTGGACATTCAGATTCAATCATTTCCATTTTTATCGTTATATGTTTTTCATAAACATACAAACAGCATACAGACTGCAACACTTTATGTTACTCAATATCATCCCTAAATTTAACATTAAGCTATGATTTTGATTCAAACTTATTTGATTTATTTTAATGATTAATATTGCTTTAATTTTTAAGGTTCAAGGACGTTTAGAACAAGCTGTTCGTTGGTTAGCAAATCCAGGTGCTGATGATAGAGGATTAGGTCAACGTGCCATTGCTTTGATTATTGAAGAAGGAAAGAAAGTTGCTGATGGCTTGCCAGGTCATCAAAAATCAGACATCCTTTATCTTTGCGACGAAGTCGAAAATCTTGCCAATCAATATTCAAAATTATGTCAAGCTGGTCTAGCACATACACCAGAAGCTCAAGAAATTGCCAGAAAATTGAATGCCAAGTTACATGAACTTAAAGCTTTGATTCAATCAGCTGTTGTTGGACGTGTTGTTGAAGATTTTATCGATATTTCAACACCATTAAAACAATTTACTGAAGCTGTAAGCGCACCTGAAGGAACACCCAACCGTGATCAAAACTTTAATCAAAAAGCTGCCAACTTGCAAGCCTTTAGTGATCGTGCATCAAAAACTAGTCGAATGGTTGCTGCTGGTGGTTCAGGAGGAAATAAGAAACTTGCTGAAGTTTTACTTGCCTCAGCTGCTCAAATTGACAGTTTGACTCCACAACTTATTAGTGCTGGTCGCATCCGTATGAACTATCCAAGTTCAAAAGCAGCAGAAGAGCATTATAATAATTTGAAACAACAATATGCTGACACTATATTAAGAATGCGTACACTCTGCGATCAAGCCACTGATCCAGCAGATTTTATTAAAGCTAGCGAAGAGCAAATGCAAAAACATACATTGCTCTGTGAAGATTCAATTAGAAACAAAGTTCCACAAAAAATGGTTGACAACACAAGTAGCATTGCTCGTTTAGCTAATCGTGTCCTTTTGGTTGCTAAGCAAGAAGCTGATAATTCTGAAGATCCACAATTCATTTCCGAATTGATCGGTGCTTCTGATAAACTTCAGAATTCAGTTCCATCAATGGTTCAAGATGCCAAGAATGTCGCCACAGATATTGGAAATACTGGAAATGCCTCTAACTGGAGAGATTCTAATAAACATGTAAGGGCTGTCTTTATGCATATTTTACAGTTACTCATCCTTTCCTTTTATTACAGCTTCTTCAAAGCGTCCGAAACGTGCGTAATGCTATCACTCAACAACCAGAGATTCCTGCTCCACCAGATCTATCAGCACTTAATCTCAACACACATCATATTGAACGTCCTGAACGTGCCCCACCACGTCCTCCATTGCCACGTGAAGAAATTCCACCAGTTCGTCCACCACTGCCTGAAACAGATGATGAAGATGAAGGTGTTTTCAAAGCCGTACCAACATCAAATCAACCAATTTTGCTTGCTGCTCATGGACTTCATCAAGAAGTACGTCAATGGTCGTCAAAGGACAATGAAATTATTGCTGCTGCTAAACGTATGGCTGTTTTAATGGCTCGCTTATCAGAGCTTGTGCATCAAGATTCAAAGGGTAGTAAACGTGAGCTTATTGCCACTGCCAAATTAATTGCTGAAGCTTCAGAAGATGTGACGAGAATTGCAAAGGCATTAGCTAGAGAATGTACAGACAAGAGAATTAGAACGAACTTACTGCAAGTTTGCGAAAGAATACCAACAATTGGTACACAATTGAAGATCTTGTCTACAGTAAAGGCAACCATGTTGGGTGCACAAGGATCTGATGAGGATCGTGAAGCTACTGAAATGCTTGTAGGAAATGCTCAAAATCTCATGCAAAGCGTAAGTTTGAATTTTACTAGGTTTTGGATATTTAAAAATAATTTCTCAAATCACAGGTGAAAGAAACAGTTCGTGCCGCAGAAGGTGCTAGTATTAAAATAAGAAGCGACCAAACAAATCATCGTCTAAGATGGATTCGTCGACAGCCTTGGTACCAATACTAATAAATTTATTTCCACAATATCGTTTTCATGGATTACAGCTGAGTGGTTTTATTTGCAAAAAAAATCAGCTAAATTAACCAAACTTACGCTCAATTTACTTTTTATTCAACAAAAAGTGTTAAGCAAATTGAAAAGGACTTCTATGCTCAGCATGGAAGTTCCTTATGTTTGAACAAATTAAATACACAAACACACAGAAACACGTGAAATAAATATAATTTAATTAAGTTTTGTGCTTTTTTAAAAATTAACACAATTATTTTACAAAAAATTTTTGGTAAGATTCTAAGAATGTCAAACTGAAAGTAATGTTGATGAGTGGATTAAGTGATTGAAATGAAGTGCCTACCTACCTTTTTAACATTAAATGTTGAAAATTATTATGATAATTAATTAATTAAAGTTTCTTAGTAGAAATAAAAATATGAAAACTTTTTTAATTGCATTAAGAGAAACATTTGAGCTTTAGCTTTCATGATTTGCAACTGGCTAGGGCGTATGTAGCTTCAAAAGAAAGATTAGTTTGATTCCAACCTTGTCTCAAGTACGCCTCTGGCAAATGGTTTTTTAAACATTAAAAGCTTGTAGAATTTGTAGTTTCATTGTGAAGGAGTTCTGAATTTTTTTCTTCTTATTTCCTGCTAATAATTTAGATATAATTCTTGCCTAAACTATAAAATTTTATTGATGAAATTCAGAACTCTTGATTTGTTATAGAAGTAGAAAAATCCAATAAAGAAATTGACAAGTATTATGGCACAATAAAAGGATCCAAAATTACACTATAGAATGGGAATCGAGTGATTGATGCAATCCTGTCTATAGCTAAGAATCTAAAATAATTTTCTAGTGATAAAATGGTGCAGAATTTTTTTAAAAAAATTAACAATTTGTTCATCTTTTACTTGAAAACTAACCTTATACTTTGCAAAAGATTGAAACCTAGTTGTGCAATAAAAGCAATCAATAATCTTTCACCTTTTCTAGTTTTTTTTTTTGCTTCCACATTTCTTCACAATTTCATCAATTCATAAAGGAAATGTTGAGTTTGGATATTGCTGGATGTTGAAATTTATTCATGAGTTGTCGATTTTCGTTTCCCTAATGGAATCAATGACTATTATAGCAATTTCTGCTTCTATCGTGTATGAAATTGCTTTGATCAACAAGTCAGCAAATATCCAACTCCAACAAAAAATAATCATTTCCAAAACTTTTTGTGTTCATTTATTTTTTAAACTTTATTTCTTCTTTTATTTTATTTTCTTATAAAAAAAGGCATGAGAGAATCGATCTAGCTGACGGAACAAGAGATATAATTGAGTTAAAACAATCGTACTAATGTGCCAAAGTTTATTTATTTATCGTCCAATCAAAAATTGAAAAGATTTTGCAAATAAAATTATCTTTTAAAGAATGAAAAATGAAATAATAAAAATTAAAATCAAGGAATTGTAATTATGTGAGTCATGATTTATAAAATGCTAAAATAAGGAATTGAGGTGAGAATTAAGTTTGACTAACTTTCGAAAAAGGTTCAAATTGATTGGAAAATCACAAATTAAGATAGAATCAAAAGTAAAATTTTCAATCGTTTTAATCCTTAACTTTGTGGGTCGCATAACTCAAGATTCTAAAACAAAATCGTCCCACAACTTAAAATTTACATGTTTTTTTTACGTTTTTAAATATTTTATCCTTTGTCTCTTTAAATAATAATTAAAATTTATATCCTTAATTAGCTAACTGTACTGTGAAGTTGTTGTTGAAAATTAATAAAAGAATATGGAATGAAAAATCAATCGATGTTATGATACGAAAATATTGAAAAAAAAAATAATTAATTTAGAATATTTTAATACCTACAAAATAGAAATGAAAGTTTCTTTCTTAAAATAATTGAATATTTATACTTTTAGAACTCTAATAATAGGAAGATTTTTGAGGAACTAAAACAAAGCAAATGAAAAAGTTTAAATAAAAATAAATTAAAATGCGAAAATTTTGAATATTTTTGAAACTTTACAGGTTTAAATTCAGCTTTATAATTATTGTTTACATCAAAGTGTAACACCAGTTGCTCGTTTGATCAACTCATCACCTGTTATTACTTCACTTACAAATTCCTAGCATTCGGATCGCTTCCAGTTCCAATTTTAAGCGAGCAATTTTGGAGAGAAAATATACAAAACCTTGAATAAGTTCACTGAAAAAGTCGTACACATGTGCTCCACATTGTTTGCATTTGTCAGGAACAGATCTTAAAAATTTTAGTTCACTTTGTGAATTGTTGGAACTTGGAGCGAAATAAAAATTGCTACTTGATCTATCATTCAAAATTTTTATTAAATTAATCATTTTTTTCACAATTCATTTCCTGTATTCAATTATATTTGTGTAGATACCTAGCTCTAAAGACATTGTGTTTAACTGTTGTCGTAGAAATAACTTCATCATCTATTGGATCAACATCTTGGTCAATTCCAACTCCAATATCATGTCCAGTGTCTGGAGGATTTTTAACTTCAGTCCATGCATTTCTCCAAGCATATTTTTTATGTGGAATGATTTTTCTTCGTCCGGACGGAGGTTCTGTAGTCGATTGCTCAATATCTATGTCATCACAGCAAAAAGCTGACGCATTTGCAAGCTTATCCAAAACTCTCGTGACTGGCAATGAAAAAGCTTTAACCTTTAAATTCAATGTATCACAGCTACAATCAGCATTTCTTGTAAAATCTTTTGAGCACAATGGACACACATCATTGTCGTTATCACAGCATTTGCCTGTAAATCCTTTACAAAACAATGGCTCATCACTTCTGTAACAAACAACTCGATTTGAGACAATTGAATCTGATTCTGAACAATTGCATTGAACGACAGTTTTAAATCTTGAGATTTCAAGGCTGTTACATGATGCACAAAAAAATCCAGTGATTTGGCACGAGATGAATCCGAAAAATGTAATAAATGTGAATACTTTTATTAATACTCTCATATTATGTTCCTTTTGTTCCAATGGGTGCCTACAACAATGTAGACCGTTATTTTTTCTAAAATTCAAACCTGTTTCGAAAAAATTCGAAAAATAATTTTTTATAAAATATTTTGAAATTTTAAAAACCGTTAAATTTATTTATGAACAAAAATCAATTCTTCGATGCAAATTTGTTTTTTGAATGTAACAATCGACAATGAAGCTCAAGTTTCAACTCGTTCCTGAAATCAAAATAAATATATGGTCTTAGCTCACATTTAATTTGCTCTTTATCTACTTACATTTGAAATAATAGTAATTTTTGGCTTTACTGGATGTTGCTGTTCTGGATCCTAAAATTAGTTTTTGATAGAAAAAATAGTTTTTGAAGTATTGCAGTGAACTTACTATGGAAGGATATGCATTGTCAGTTAATCTTACTCTTGAGTTGCTTTTAATAATCATATCATCTTTAAAATGAGAGTCACATAAATATATTTCACTTCCGTCGACACTTATGTTGTTTGATTTTAAAAATAACAACCATTTATCTTTGTTTAATGAGTGCTTAGGTACTTTAAAAAGATTTGTAATTGTTTTATTTTTGTTGCAGCTTGCAATTTTGCAGGTTTTACCCATAATTAATGAAAATTAATCAAAATTTTACAGATGTAAACAAATATAATTTTTTGATGAAATATTTTTAACGGAATTTCATTTTTTGAAAAAAATTCAAATTCGAATTTTCGATTTCGAAGAATAAGGACCATTTTCGAAGAATAAGAACCATCGGCACCCATTGGCTTTTGTTTTAAAGTGTCAGAGAGAACTGATGACAAATAATTAAAAACAGATCTTGTTTGAATGGCAAAGGACTTGACACTTGTGAGTGTGAATATTATGCACTGTTTAGAGCTATGGACTAAAGTATTTGGAAATTTCTTGATATTGTTGATAAATTTTTCATTATTCAAAGCAATTTTGAGACTTGTGTTAAAGTTTTTTTTTAAGTCACCGCAACAGCACTTTAAGCTAGCTGATTAATTATTTATTTATGGCAATGAAATGAGCTTGGATTAATCTAATTTCAGTTTGATTTGAGTGACACGTCCTGAAACATTTTGTTTAAAACAGAAATATTTGCTAAGTTATTACTTATTTTATTTCGCGTGCAGATAATCGAACAGTTTCATTAAGTATGAACTCACTTTATCTCTTTTTACAGACATAAAAGTGCCTCATTGAATTAAATTCTTTTCTTAAACAAAGATCTGCGCATGGAAGACATTATATTACTTAGTGACCTAGTGTCTTCATATTGAGGCTCAAAGTTATCAATTTGATAAATATTTTTGCTAGATAATCTACAAAACTCAGTGGATGAGAATGTGTAAGCTCCCATGTTGTGAAAAATCATCCAATCTCCAATTTCCATTTCTGGGATTATTTTATCGCCTATAATTTTATCCAAAGGATTAGTTGAAGAGCCCCAAATGGTTGACATCATTTCTTTTGGTTTATGCTTAAGTTTTGATTTCCGGATGACTGAAAACTGTAACTGAATGTTGAAAAGGAAATTAATAAGAAATGAAGAAAACATGCTGTCATTTAAGGAGTAATAAGCATGTCCATCCTCAAAATTTCGTTTAAGAATAACTTGAGCAGCAAAAGAAAATGCAGATTCCACAAAATACCTTCCAGGTTCTGCTATAATCTGAATTTCTGTTGATGGAAATAGTCTTTCAATTCCATCATTTATGGATTTGGCGTAATTATCAAAAATCAAAGGATCTCTGCCAATAAATCCACCTCCGATGTCCACAAATTTTAATTTCATATCCAACGACTCTGCATAATCAAATAAGATTCTTACAGCATTCAAAGCTCGTTCATAAACTCCATGATCAGTCAAAACTAATCCAACATGAAAAGCAATTCCAATAAGATTAATTTTTAATTCTTTGCAGCTTTTAATCAAATAGGATGCTTCAGTTTCAGGATTACATCCGAATTTTGTGCCTAAACTGATTATTGAATCAGTTGCATCAAATTTGATTCTCAACAAAACTTTTGCTTTTGGGTGATGCTTTTTGATCTTCTTGAGTTCGGTGATGGAATCAAAAGTCAATATATCAACTCCTTTTTCAGCCAAAAGTTTAATGAATGAAACTTCCTTCACGGTATGTGAACAAATCACTCGTTTTGGATCAACATTCAAGTCCAAGACTTGCAAAGTCTCATTTTTCGATCCACAATTGAATCCAACTCCTAAATCTCTTAAAAGCTTTAAGATTTCTTCATTATTATTGCTCCTTACTGAGTAATAAGGATTTATTCTTGGAAACTTTTCTATCCAATGATTGAAAGATAATTTCACTTCCTCCAAATTTGATATACAAAACGCGTCATCATTTCCTTCCGAATGATGTTTTTCAATAATTTTCCTCGCGATTTTATCAAGTTCCATTTTGGTTTGAACTTAATTTTTGATCACAAATTTACTTGCTAGAACAGATGTAATTTCTGTGATTTGTTTGGGACAAAATACAAAACTAGAATGAAAATGAGATGTTGAATTTTTATAGTTTTAATAAGGAAAATAGCTTGATCCTCACTTTTAACATGTTTCTGAAAATTGTTTAAAAATTTAAGTCATTCAATTTACATTATTCTGAGAACCAACAACTTCATAACTTCATTCACTGAAGCACTTAAACATTTTACATACTGTAAAATTTTCAAAGTATCACAGATTTCCTAAGCAAGAATCTACTTTAACGATCACATTCTTTCAACCTCATGACTAGTCACCCAGAAATTCTCTCATTCTCAAAATATAGTTCTCTTCTCGTCTCTCTTATCAAGCATTTGCCGAATATCAACAGTGTAGTAAGCCACTTCATAGGAAAAGGTAATATAATAATCTTTTATCAGCTAAACATTGAATAGAATTACTTGGATTCTCATACATGAACTGATAAAGTATAGAGCATGTAGATTGCTTTAATTGATAAACAAAAACATTTAAATTATTGTCAATTTATTCCTCTCTCGCTCAAATACAAATGATCTGTTTATTAACATTATCAATATTCTGTTTACTCATACTTCCTTACTTTATCAATCAACTCTCAAATAAAGTTTAAATGCAAAACTCAGAATTTCAATATAATGATCAGTTGCTTCTCATAATTCGTAATGATCAGCTCAATAATTCGTGGTAGTGTTCCAAAAGTGAATACATTCTTTTCTATATCTTGCAGAACGATGTCGTCACGTTATCTCATTGATGATCCAAAATTTTCATTCCTTAAAGATTTGGGAATAAAAAGAACCAATAAAGGAGTTTATAATGGAGAATGGTGTGGAAATGGAGAAGTCACAAAAACATATGATCCAGCGACCAAAGAGGTTATCGCTGAGGTTCAAAATGGAAATGTCGAGGACCTCAATAACTGTATAAAAATAGCAGATGATTCTTATAAGCATTGGAAAACTCTTCCAGCACCATTCCGTGGAGAAATTGTAAGACAAATTGGTGATGAGCTTAGAAAGTATCGCGAGCCATTAGGAAAGTTGGTCTCACTTGAAATGGGAAAAATTCAAGCTGAAGGAATCGGTGAAGTTCAAGAATTTATTGACATTTGTGACTATGCAACTGGACTCTCACGCATGTTTGCTGGACAAGTCTTACCTTCAGAAAGAAGTCAGCATGTGATCATTGAGAAATGGAATCCACTTGGTGTTGTTGGTGTTATTTCAGCATTTAATTTCCCAAATGCAGTGTTTGGATGGAATGCAGCTATTGCAATGGTTGTTGGAAATTCAGTCTTATGGAAAGGAGCTCCATCGACACCACTTATTTCTATAGCCACAACTAGAATTGTAACTGAAGTCTTAAAACGCAATAATTTACCACCAGTTGTCACATTATGTCAAGGTGGAGTTGATGTTGGCAAGAAAATGGTAGCTGATGATCGTGTTAAGCTCCTCTCATTCACTGGGAGTACAAATGTTGGCCGTGAAGTTGGTGTAGAAGTACAAAAAAGATTCGGAAAAGTTCTGCTAGAACTTGGTGGAAATAACGCATTGATTATCAATGATGATGCTGATTTTGATATGGCACTTGATGCTGCATTCTTTGGATGTATTGGAACAGCAGGACAGCGATGCACAACAACACGTCGTTTAATTATTCATGAGAAAATTTATGATGCATTTTTAGAGAAATTGATTTTAAGATACAAGGGAGTAAGTAGCTAATTCTTAAATGATTAAAGGTTCAATTGTATAAATGTTTATTTTCATAGCTCATGAAACGAGTCGGACATCCACTTGATGAAGCAACAATTTTGGGTCCTCTTCACAATCAACAAGCTGTTGATGCATACACAAATACAATCAAGGAAGCAACTAATCTTGGTGGTAAAATTGAAGTCGGTGGAAATATCATCGACCGTCCAGGATATTTTGTGGAACCAACTATTGTTACTAATCTACCTCACGATGCACCTGTCATCAAGAGAGAAACTTTTGTTCCAATTGTTTATGTTTTAAAAGCTAAGAATTTAGATCAAGCAATTGAATGGAATAATGAGGTAGAGCAAGGTCTTTCGTCAGCATTATTTACTAAAAATATTGGATCTACATTCAACTGGATTTCTGAAAATGGTTCTGATTGTGGAATTGTAAATATCAACACATCTCCATCAGGCGCAGAGATCGGAGGTGCTTTTGGTGGTGAAAAGGCAACAGGAGGTGGTCGCGAAAGTGGATCAGATGCATGGAAACAATATTGCAGACGATCAACCATTACGGTCAATTATTCACAACAGTTACCATTGGCACAAGGACTTGTATTTGAATAAAAGTTTTATGTGAATAAATTTTCTGAAATTCACCAACTCAATCTTCAAATTTATTTTATTTAATTATTGAGTCATCGCACTTTTAGTTTGAAGAGGCTTAAACCTTATCATCGTAAAATATTTTCAAGACAAAGGGATTAGAAATTATGCAATTTTCTGCATTATATTTTTTTTTTAATATTTCAGAAACTTTTAAAATTTACTAAAGTGAATGTGCAAATATTAAGCACTTGCTTCTCTTTGTATTTAACTTATTGAGAGTGATCGAAGAGAAAAGTTCGCAAGAGCATAGCTAGAGTGGAGACATAAACAAATCGAGTCATCAAATTCATTTATAAATTTAAAAATAATAAAATGGATTATTTTGCAGATCTTCAAGTCAAAAGAGGAGCAACCAAGAAACAAATTAAGAATGCATACAAAACACTAGTGTTAAAATATCATCCTGACAAGGTAAAATAAGTTTTATAAGTATTTTCCATAATTTAAAGGTTTTTTCCCCTTTTTTAAGAATAAACATAAAGATGCAGGAGAAACATTTAGAAAAATTCATGCTGCATATATAATACTGATTAATATAGCACCAGATTCAAGTCCCCATTCATCACCACCCAAAAAAGACTATTTCAGCACATTTCAGCAATCATCAAAGCCTAAACCGGAAAATTCAAACAACAACAATCAATCCTCAAAGCCTGAGCAAGAAAATTCAAGCAATAACAGTCAATCCTCAAAGCCCAATCCGGAAAATTTAAACAACAACAATCAATCCTCAAAGCCTGAGCAGGAAAATTCAAATACTTTTCAGAAGTCATCAGAATTTCAACAGCGCAACCCAAATTCCAATAGGCAAAAGAGAAGGAGAAGGAGATCACAAAATTTTAAGCAAAATCGGGAAAATAATTCAAATTCTTATCAGAAGTCATCAGCATCAAATCAACAATCATCAAAGCCTGAGCAGGAAAATTCAAATAATAACAGTCAATCCTCAAAGCCTGAGCAAAATAATTCAAATACTTTTCAGAAGTCATCAAAATTTCAACAGCAAAACTCAAATTCCAATCGGCAATGGCAGAAAAAGAGATCACAGAAATTTAATGAAAATCGGGAATATAATTCAAACGCGTATCAAAACTCATCAGCATCAAATCAAAGATCATCAAATCCGTCTGATAAATCATCAAATACATATCAACAATCATCGAATTCTAATCAACAATCATCAAATACATATCAACAATCATCAAACTCTAATCAGCAATCATCACGTTCACACCAGCAAGAATCAAAAAATGAACCATCTTCAGGCACACAACAGAAGCAGGAACCTCACACACATAGTGAGTCTTCAAGTTATTCTCAGCAATATTCGAATACATTTCAGCAAAATTCTAAGGACGAAAACTCATCAGATGAAAGTCAGAATTTCTTGAGAAAAGATCAACACCATACCGATCATAAACCATCTTCAACTCCGTATCAGCCAAATTATTCTACTTATCAATCGGCCTCCACCTCAAATCAGACGAATTTCTCTAGAAATACCTTCTCAAATCAGTCGTTTGCAGATTCAGGTACTAATACAATTCGAATAAACATGCCTCGAGAACGAGAACCAGTTAGATTTAAATGTCCAGCATGGCGGCGTTTCCCTTGGCGATACTTGATGTATTTTATTTTGATTATAATTATCATAACCGCTGGTTATTTTATTATTGCAAACTTTACAGTTATTTTTCAATTTCTTCTTGACTTAATCGTCAAAATTTTATTAGGATTATTTGATCTTATAATCATAATTCTTAAATACATTTTTAAATTACTTTGGAAAATTCTTGTTGCCATTTATGAAATCTTAAAGGGCTTGTGCTTAAAAATATATGACTTATTTTAAAAGAAACTGAAATTCACGAAAGAAGCAGCTATATGATTATCATTTTTATTTGACTTTAAATATGTTTAGCCATTATTATTCAATTTAATAAAAGAAAATATATAATATTATATCTCTAATATATATCTATGTATTGTGAAATTTGAATTTTTTTCTTACTTTTTTTTTTTACATTTTAAGTCATTCTCGATTAGATTAACTCTCTGAGTTTTTGAGAGTAAGCTGAGAAAAGAAAGTATTAAAGAGTAAAGATTTTTTTTTTGAGAAGTAAACAACTTAAACAATTACGAAAGATCATTTCTTAATTTTAAACAAATTTAATGGAAAATGGAATATTTTTCCGATCTTGGAATTCGTAAAGGAGCAACTCTAAGTGAGATCAAGAATGCATTCAAGAAGTTAGCTTTAAAATTTCATCCTGATAAGGTAAAAAGTAGTTTAAACTTAAATGTTATTGTTATTGAAGTAATTCTATTGACAGAATAGCGCAAAAAGTGCAGAAGAAATATTTAAGAGAATTTATGTAGCTTATATATTTCTACTGAGCTCAGCATCGAGCAATTATGATCCCAAAAAGGAATATTCAAATCAATATCAACAGCCATCAAATCCTAAACAAGAACAATCAAAATCAAAGCAAAATCAGGATCAATCAAACTCCAAACCTCAACCATCAAAAACTAATCAGCATCCAAAAAGAAATTTCCATATTAGAATAGATTTTCGGTACCTAATAATTATTATTGCGATCTTAGTACCAACAATTATATTTAGAAATGAAATTATTGAAATCGCATCAATTTTGTTTAGAGTTATCGTGGTTCTCTATAATATAATCAAGAAAATCGTTTTCATAGCCGAAAGAGTCATTCCAGCTGTGACAATAACTTTATTTGATATATTTATTGAATTCATAAAAACTATAATTAAGATCATTCCAACATTATTCACTATCATTAAGGCAATATTATATATTTTTGTTAAAATCATATCAACCATCATTGACATAACTTCCATAATCATCAAATCATTAAGAACTTAGTGAAATCCAAAAGATTTCAAATTCTAAAAAGCCTGAAAAAAGAAATATAAAAGTGATAGATTTAAACTTCCAAACTTAACAGGTTTTCCTGTTAATTATTAAGAAAGATATTATTTACATTTTATTAATTGGAACCAAGACTTTAAATAAGTAGATAATTATAGTTAGAATATCTGAGCAGCACCATCGTTCCTTATGTAATTTATAAGGTTTAACTTTTTGTGTCGCTCATGATTAAAATTTTATTTTTACATGATTAATAAAAATAAGGAATCTTTACCTCCTTAAAGGTTTTCAATATCCTCAAAACTATAAACATTAACATTTTTGAATCCATTGAACTTAGTAGATGTTGTTGTTGTATAGTCACCCATATTAAAAAATAACAACCAATCTCCCATTTCCACTTCGGTCATCATCCTGTTTCCAATTATTTTATCCATAGAATTGCATGTGCATCCCCAAATGGTTGAAAGTAGTTCTTTGGGTTCGTGTTCTGTTTTCGTCTTTCTAATTACTGAAAATTTTAAATTTTCTTTGTACAAGAACATTGTAAGGAATGACATGTAGATGCTCTCGTTAATATAATAATAAATTTGTCCATCTTCAGAAGGCTTCTTCAAAATAACTTGCGTAGCTACTGAAAATGCTGTATCGACAAAAAATCTTCCAGGTTCTGAAATAATTTCAACGTCATTTAATGAAAAATATTTTTCGATTCCAGCATTAATTGATGCTGCATAATTATCAAAAATAGATAAATCCTTTCCAGCAAATCCACCTCCAATGTCAATAAAGTTCAATTTCATCCCAAGAGTCTCAGCATAATCAAAAAGTTTTCGAGTTGTCTCAAAAGCTCTTTCATAAACTGTGTGATCGTTTGTAAAGGAACCGATATGAAAAGACAGTCCAATTAAATTCATATCCAATTCTTTACATAGTTTAATTAGCTTTGGAGCTTCAGTTTCATGATTACATCCAAATTTCAAACCCAAATTGAAGATTCTGAGAACAACTTTTGCATTTGAATAGTGCTGCTTAATTTTTTCCAATTCTGGTGCAGAATCGAATGTGATTTTATCGATTCCTTTCTCAGCTGAATATTTAATATGCGATACTTGCTTGATTGTGTTTGAATAAATTATTCTGTTTGGATCTACATTCAATTCTAAAACCTGTGATATTTCTTTCTTTGATGCACAATCATATCCAGCACCTAAATCTCTTAATAACTTCATCACTCTTACATCATCATTGCTTTTTACTGCATAGTAAGGCACAACTCTAGGTATTTTTTGGATCCAATATTCATATTTTCTCTTCACTTCTTCTATGTCCAGCACAAAAAATGCATCATCGTTGTCCTTTGATAAGTTTTTATCAATAATTTTTTCTGTTACTTGAAGGACGTCCATTTTGATTCGTCATTTTAGTCAGACTGAGAAAGTGTGTAGAAGTACTTGAGTTTCGGACATTCTAATCGCGCTTATCAGATTAGATTAATTGAGTACTTACTCTATGTCGTTCGAATGGGAGAGAGACATAATCAATAGATTAGTTAAGAAAAAAATATATTGACAATTTAGTGTCTGGTTCCAAAATTTATTGAAAAATATTTTGATAAGTTAACAACAGCTTTTATCGTCTATCCACTTGATAAGCAACTTAAAAAAAATTCTATGAATTTTCGTGTAAACTTACTTCAAAGATCGGCACTACCAAAAATATTTAAGTTTTGAAATCCATTGAATGCAGTGGACACTGTCGTTGTATACGCTCCCATATTGTGAAAAACTATCCAGTCACCCATTTGTAGCTCTGGAATCAACCTGTCAGCAATAATTTTATCCCTAGAATTGCACGTGCATCCCCAGACTGTTGATAACTTATCTTTAGGTTCCTTTTCAGGTTCTGATGCTCGAATAATTGAGAATTCTAATTGTTCTTTGTATAAATGAGCAATAAGGAATGACATGTAGATACTCTCATTTAAGTAGTAATAAATTTGTCCATCTTCATGGTGCTTCTTTAAAATGACTTGTGATACGACAGAAAATGCTGAATCTACAAAATACCTTCCAGGTTCGGATATAATTTCTATGTCACTTGATGGGAAGTTTCTTTCGATTCCAGCATTAATTGATTTAGCATAGTCATCAAAAATCGACAAATCCTTGCCAATGAAGCCTCCACCAATATCCACAAACTTCATTTTTATGTCCATTGTTTCAGCGTAGTCAAAAAGTTTACGAACAGCATCTAGAGCTCGCTCATAGACACCAAAATCTGTTGTGCCTGATCCAACATGAAATGCGATCCCAAAAAGGTTGATTTTTAATTCCTTGCATAATTCTATTAACTTCGGTGCTTCTGTTATTGGATTGCAGCCAAATTTAGTACCTAAATTAATAATTGAATTTGATGCATCAAATCTGATCCTCAGCACAACTTTTGAGTTTGGATGAAACTCTTTAATTTTATAAAGCTCAGCTTCTGAATCAAATGTGACTTTTTTAATGCCTTTTTCAGCTGATAGCTTCAAATGCGATATTTGCTTTACAGTATGAGCATAAATAATTTTATTTGAATCAACGTTTAAACTTAGCATTTGCAAGATTTCCTTTTTTGATGCACAATCAAATCCAGTTCCTAAATCTCTCAATAATTTAAGAACTTCTTCGTCATCATTGCACTTTACAGCATAATAAGGCATCACTCTTGGGATTTTCTCAACCCAATGCTCATATTTTATTTTCACATCCTCAAGATTCATAACATAAAATGCATCATCGTTCCCTTCCAACGATTTTTGATTGATAATTTTCTTTGCAGCTTGAATCACGTCCATGTCTATGTAATATTTTAAAAGAACTAAGTTTTACAAATTTAATAAAGTTTTCTAGATTGAGATTTTGAGACTATCAGAAGAGAAAAAGCTCTCTTATCTTTAAAACTTTCAATTTAAGCTCCAATATTCGATTGAAGCTTCCTTTTACTAACGTTTTATTTTTAAATCCTATGAATAACTCAAAAGCAAAGTAAACAAATTTAAAGCTTGCGTCATAAATTATTAAATGAGTTTTAACATTATTTATCTTTAAAATCGGCAGTAATGGAATATTTTGCTGCTTATAAAATCAATAAAGATGCGACTAAAGATGACATTAAGAAGACATTCCGTAAATTAGCTTTGAAATATCATCCAGATAAGGTAAAATAAAGTTTAATCTTAAAATTCATAAATTTTGAGCAATTTTTTGGATTCTAGAATAAACAAAAAGATGCAGGAGAAATATTCAAAGCAATTCGTTCAGCATATGAAGTTCTTATAAAATTAGCTCCTGATTCAAAGCAACAATCATCAAAACCCAAACAAGAACATCAAAACAATTATCAGCAATCATCAAATGCTAAACCAGAATATTCAGGCACTTATGAGCAGACATCCAAAAGTAAACAAGAATATTCAGGCACTTATCAACAATCATCAAACCCCGAGCAAGAAAATCGAAAGAATTATCAGCAATCATCAAATGCTAAACCGGAATATTCAGGCACTTATGAGCAGACATCCAAAAGTAAACAACAATATTCAGGCACTTATCAACAATCATCAAACCCCGAGCAAGAAAATCGAAAGAATTATCAGCAATCATCAAATGCTAAACCGGAATATTCAAGAACTTTTGAACAGACTTCCAAAACTAGACAAGAATATTCAGGCACTTATCAACAATCATCAAAACCCAAGCATCAACATCAAAATAATTATCAGCAATCATCAAATGCTAAATCGGAATATTCAGGCACTTATGAGCAGACATCCAAAAGTAGACAAGAATATTCAGGCACTTATCAACAATCTTCAAAATCAAACAAGAAACCGTTCAATACAAGAACATATAAAAACTCATATAAAGCAAAACAGGAATATTCTAAGAGACATCAACAATCTCCTAAGCAGGAGTATTCAAATGCATATCGACAATCTTCAAGACCTAAGCAGGAGTATTCAAATGCATATCGACAATCTTCAAAACCTAAGCAAGATAATTCAAAACAAAATAATAAGAAATCATCAAATTTTAAGCAAAATAATTGGCAAAAATCAAATCCGGAATACTCAAATACTTATCAGCAATCCACTAAATCCAATCAGCAGCATTCAAGCTCATACCAACAATCAACAAAACCGGAATATAAGCCATATAATGCTTATCAGCAATCAAACTATCATCAATCATATTCAAAGCCTGATAACCAATATTCAAGTACTTATAAGCCAACTTCTAACCAGACATATTCGAGCTCTAATCAGAATAGCTTCAACTATAACACATCTTCAGGATCATATCCACAGTATTCCAACACAAGTTATCAATATTCAAGCACACAAAAGCCGACAACTGATTCATTCCAGGCATCAAATTCATACGAAAATTGGTGGAAATCTTATGATCAGTATTCAAGCAAAGTTAATAGAGAATATTGTCAGCCATCAGATTCGAATCATCAACCATCAAAAATCCTTAATGCTTTATTAAAAGTTGGACAAGCTTTAATTATCGTTATTGCAGTAATTGTGATAATTATTTTTATTATCTTCAAGTTCTCATTCGTAATAATCAAAGTTCTTGTCAATATCATCATAAAGGTGATTTTGATGATCTTTAAAGTTATCGCAGCGATTATTAGGTTCTTACCAACAGTAATCAAAACTTTATTAAATGTTGTTACAATATTGCCTATTGTCATAAAATATTTGTCGATGGTGATCCTAGGTATATTGGCCGTAACAGCAGTAATTAAAGTTACATCATTAGCCATTGAGGGTACATCATCGATTATTTCAACTGTATCGTCAGCCATTGAGATCACATTCGATCATGTTAAGTCATCAATCCACAAATTCTGGTCTTTTGGGATGAATATTTTACGTTTTCCATTCAACAAGTTCGCATCATTATTCAATCAAGCCAGATTTACAGTCGTTAAATCATTTTCATCAATTATGAGCATGTTCCTACCAGCCATTCAGTTCATTGTCAGTAAGTAGGAAGGACATTTTTGTGATATTACGTCTTTTTTTAATACTTTTGTGAAACATTGATTTGTTGTGTAATTAATTTAAGTTTTTGATATGACAGAATTTTTTATAATGCATGTGACTGTACATTTTCTTGTATTGTTACAAGCTTAATAAAAATTATGTATTTTTACATGTTTGGTAATTATTAATCTTATGCATCTTATGCATGAGGTACAAATTAGCCATTTTCTGAACTAAACAAGGAAACTTGTGCTAATCAGAAATCAGCAACGAAGAAAATTACCAAATGTGGACGTGTTTTATCAATCTGTGATTACAGCAGGAATTATAAATGGTATAATTGAAATCGCCTTTTTTATAGTTATGCTATTTATTGCATACAAATTCATTAAGTCTTTATTTTAACTGATCTTTTACAAATTTTGTAACGTGTTTTTTTATTTAAACTTTTCGTATAAAAAGTTGTAACGGCTAGAATTTGAATTTAATAAATTGTTTTGAAAAACATTAGACGATTTTAATTTTGATCATTGTATTTAAATCTAGCTAACATTTTCCTCAAATAAAATGGCAAAAGATTATTATGAAATACTTGAGATTAATAAAAGTGCAACTGATGAGGAGATTAAGAAGGCCTACCGAAAATTGGCATTAAAATATCATCCAGACAAGGTAAAATTCATGATTACAAAATTATTTCAGCTTTTATTTAACTTAACTTACAGAATAAGGATAAAGGAGCTGAAGAAAAATTTAAGGAAGTTGCAGAAGCGTACGAAGTCTTGTCCAATAAAGAAAAACGCGAGACATATGATAAATATGGAAATGCAAATTATACTGAACAACAATCATCCAGACCAAATCATCAACAGCATTTTTATACATATCAAGGAGATGGTCGTTCAACATTCCGCGACTTTTTCGGAACTGATGATATCTTTTCAGCTTTTAATCAATTCTCATCATTCGATTTTCCTCAAATGAATCCTCAATTTAACTCATTTCCTTCAAAGAAGTTCTGTGATGATTCATACATGAAGCAAGATCCACCAATTCAATATGAGCTTTTCGTCTCATTAGAGCACATTTATAAAGGCGGCATTAAAAAATACAAGATCAACAAGAATAACTTTCTAGGAAATGGACAAGTTGTAAAGGAAGAAAAGATTCTTAACATCGAAATCAAGCCAGGCTGGAAAGCAGGAACTACAATTACATTCCCAAAAGAAGGTGATAAACGTCCAAATATAATTCCAGCAGATATTATCTTCGTCCTTCGTGATCAGCCACACAAATTGTTTACGCGAGTTGGTAATGATATTGAGTATACAGCATCAATTTCTTTGAAGGAATCATTATGTTGCAGTTTGATCCTTGATGTACCAACACTTGGCGGTGAGATTAAAAAGATTGACTTTAGCCATGAAGTTATAACGCCATACACGACAAAGGTTATTCCAAATTTAGGTTTGCCTAGTCATAAAGATCCTAAAACGTTTGGTTCCATGAAAATTAGTTTTAAAATACGATTTCCATCAACTTTGTCGCTAGATGTTCGTAATCAGCTCATGGCGCTTTTGCCTTGATTTTGGTTTCTATCCATAAAGTTTAAAAATACTAGAAGTTTTGTAGACATTTTTACCGGAAAATAAAAATTCAAACTAAACTCTACAAAAAATTTGCTGTCGATTTGTTTCTGTAGAGTTTTGCAATTCTTAATTCAATTTTCTTCATTTATTAAAAAAATCTATAATTAACGTTAAAAATGGACTTTTCTGATGATCCAGCAGCTGACTTTTTGTCTCGCGAACGTGAACAACTTGGAGATTTAATTAACGACGATGAAAGTAAGTGAAATATGTCAGAAAAAGTCTTATCAGAAATTCAATTTCTCTTTTGTTAATTATCAAGTTCCAGCAAATGAATTCAACATGTCCAATGATGATTTTGAGCTTATAAATAATGAAATTAATCAAGCAGATTCACAAGCTAATGATTTGGCTGATGACTTGTCAGGAATGAGCTTTATATCAAGTCAGCCAATTAAAACAGAAGAAAAAGTTGTTCCTGAAAAGATCAGAATTTGGACAGAGAATACAAAAAAGATGCTAGAAGAGAAGGATCGTCTTGAACAAGAGGCACGAGAGGCATTACGTGAAAGTGCTCAAAAGGAACTAGATGATTGGAAAAATAAGTATACAGAACAGCTCGAGAAAACAAAGGCAATGAATCGGTAAGAGCGATAAGATAATTTGACGTTCTGTTATTCTCATATTTCCATATTTTTTTATGTGTGACTCATCATTTAGCACTGCCGAAGAGGAATTCAGACATTCTGATACGAATGGAACTACAGAATCGAAAAATGTATGGGAAAGTATTGTCAACTTATGTGACTTTTCGTCCAAAGGACCTAAAAATACCAAGGATGCAACTCGAATTAGACAAATATTCTTGCAAATGAAGACAGCTCCTACAACAAAAGTTAATTAAATCTCCTAACTTGTTATAAACATTATAATGAAATTTTTTGCACTGAAATTTATGTTCAGTCTAGATGTATTGACTGGATCTTTGCTCAATTCTGTGACTGTAACATTTGTGATTAAATTATAGCATTTTCCAAGATTTTATAGATTTAAAATCAATAGAAAGTCTAAAAAGTATTTAAATCCAATCTAATGCAAAGATCCAATCAGCAAATCTTGATCCGCATGAATTTCTGCCTTAAATATTTTGTATTCAAAACGAAGATTTATTATCTATCTATCTATTATAATATAATTCATTCCCTTATATTACTTGTATACTTTACTTTTTCAAGTTTATATACCCAACAATCATTACATTTTTGAAATAAAGTTTAATTTCACATCAAATGATAACGGCCCGAAAACATTTAAAAAGATCTACTCATGATTTTCTTGTTTTGGAAAGCATAAATTTAATCAAAAATCATGGCTTTGTCTGTTTCTAAGGATGACAACCTTCCTAAAGGTGCTGTGAGACTATCGGAAGAGAAGGCATATCAATATCAAGCTGGGATTATAAGAAATTGGGACAATTTAAGTGAAGTGTAAGGAAATTCAACTTTTGTTTTGTAAAATTATTAATTAAATTACTTGTCATTTACAGTTTTGGGCTAAGAGCAGGTGCTGGTTTCTTAGCAGGCATTAGTGGAGTATCATCGATGATTATTCTCAATCATTTTAGAAGGAAATTGAAGTTAGGAATGCATGGTAGAGTCTCAAGTTATTTGCCGGTTGTTGCGATGCCATCTGCCTTAGCTGCTTTGTTTCATACGACTGTAAGTTCATAATCTCACTATTTAAACCTGTTTCTGTATATTTATATTTTAGTTTATTGAACGGAGCATCGTTTTGAGGAAATATGATTGCCCATTATGCCTTCAAAGTCGAGCAGCATTTCTTCAAACTGGAATTGGCTTCGTGTATCCATTTCTTCTAGCACCAATGGCATCATTTATGTTTGCAACTAGACATTTCACAGTGAGGCTTCCATACATTACAGAACAACCTAAAGAATGGCTCAAATTTTGGTTAAAATTGACTCGATCAGCAAAGCATTTAGCACCTTATATAGTTTTAGCAAATATCATTGGAGCTGTAGGAATTACTTCTTTAGAATTTCATGAGTACGAAAAGCTCCAAATGCATTTTGAGGAGCATGAGAGGAAAGTAGAAAGTGGCTTCTATGATAAATGAGGAATTTAGACATTTGAAAATAAATCTTAGGATTAAAATAGTGATATAAAGTTTAATCTTGTTTTAAAATTTAATCTTCGGATTATATTACAGATCCACATGCTATGCTCTCATCTAGAGCTTTCCGATTGATTAAAAGTTCCATTTCCATTCTCTCGCAACAATTTTCCATTTTCCAGTTGCATAAAAAAGGCGCAGTCAATAAAGAGCTTTTTCCAGTCAGTCATTCCAGAGGCCGTGATACAGAGAAGAAGCTGTGACAGAAGTCATGCAAATACAAAACTGCACACATAATTAGATTACACACTATCAACTGAAAAAGAATATAGTCGCATTTCCAATGTATTGTACATAAAAAATATCTCTTCATGTCCTTGAATAATTCTGTCCTATTTTTTTGTTATTCATTCAATGCAGTTCCTTGAAAGTTCCAATGTAAGCATCCCAAAATTAAAAGCGCGTGACATTCTCTGAAAAATGTTTTATATCCAACTCAATATTGACTTTATGAATAATGATTCTCAATGACTGCATTATGCAAATCGAATTCTTTTGTTTCGCTTGCTTTATTTTTACTGGTCGGGGATATGATAATTTTGTGGCTTGTGAATGGAATTGAATGAAACGAATGCAAATGAGATTGAATTAAGTAAATTAATTTTTAAAGGGATAATTGTCTGGAGTTGATTCCATAGATCATGAGTGCTTTAATAAGGCTTTAATTTGGACGATTATTTTGAGTGACTATAAAGAGACTGGATTATTAAGGAAAAGAAAAAAATCTAGTCCAAACTTGTTGAGAATATAGCAACGGTTATTTAATATTCAAATTATGTATGCAACTGTAATAAATTTGCTTCCCCTTGTATAGTTGTTACCCCTTCATATGGAAATTTATTCTCTTTCTGATCATGAAACAATAAAGATCATTATGAATTCATATAGAGGTCGTAAAGTCTCTTTTATTAAGCTTATTAATAAATAAACATCATATCCAACAAAACTGGTTGAAAACCTAGTCTAATTCCGATTTGATGAAAACTCACCCACTAATAGCTCTACAAAAGCTCAAAGTCATGATTAAAGAATCCATGCCTTTATATCCACACGGCATTATACTTTCATGATTCCTGCAACATCTGTGTTAATTAGATACTTTGTCAACATCTAAACTACAATTCAAACAGACAACAATAGCTTTGACACATTGAAAGCCTCCAGCTTCCGAATTATGTACAAAAACATTCCATTCATCCATTATTTCAAGCTGAGTATAGGAAAGCAGTACTTGTTTAGAAATTTGTGGGAGGAAAATTCCCTCTTCAATGCACTCATTAGTTCAGACTGGTGTGTTTTGTTGGTATATTCATAATGGATTTTCGTTTACAAAACTAATAGTCGTCGAGTAAGATGAGGTTGAGGATTATATGAGCATCCAACCATATTCGAGTGATTTATTCGCTTTCAATTTTCAGAGTGATTTCAATTGTAAAATATAGGATAAAATATTCATCAAATGAACACGAAAATCCGCTTTATGAATGTTTTACATTTATTTTACATCCATAAATCCTTTCCATCCATCCATGCCTGCCTCACATGGAGGTTATTTTATTTTTTTTATATATATTTTTTTTTTTGAAGAGTGATTTTTCATCTTTTGTACATCTTACTTTTCGCTGTGCTACCTGCCAATATTCCCTCATTTTTTATATGAGTTTATTTTTTTGTTGTTGCTTATGTTTGCTGTTTCCAGGTGTCGGGGATGAAAGAGGAAAAATAGCACCTAGAATGGAGCAAAGTGATCTCGATTGAGCTTTTTCAGCGATAAATAAGGTTTATAAGTTGAGTCAATGGTCAGAGACTTGAAGATTGATAATTCTGAGATCCAGTGAAGCTAGGACAAGGTTTATAGAGTCAACGACCATACCTCGATTAGAAATCTTTTCAAATAAGGTAATTTCCTTTTGCTACATTCTTGATATCTAAACGGCTGTCACTTGGTTCTAAGTATGTCAGTCAATTTATTGAGTCTCAATCGGGTGCATATGCACATAAAAACCAGCTTTCTATATCAGTACGATACTCAAAATCTGTTTGGATGGAGCAGGAAAAAAATGTTAATTTACATAAAGTATAAAAGCACCTTTTACGTTGCTGTTGCTGATATTTATCCACCGCCATCGTTCGTTATAAATTTATATGCGGTAAAGGAAAAAAAAGGAACTAAAATAAAAATATAGAGAGACAAAAGAGGAAATGGATATATTTATAGGATGCGATGTGCATCTCTTGAAGCAATATATTGACTAATAAGACTTCATGTAAACGACAACGACACGTAAAAAAGGAGCAACAAGGAAAATGAATTTATTGAAAAACTGCATTAAACTAGTACACATAATGCTCATGGCTAATGGGGTGAAATGCATCATCGCATATGTGCATACAAATGTACTGTCACCTGCAGATATGTATTATATTTTCTTCGTGTTCCTTCCTTTCTACACTATATCAAGTAAATGTGAAATAAGTACGAAAATTTGCACATAGAAGAACTGAGACATTTGTCACATTCTTAAGTGTAACACAACATTCCATAAATCTTCATATTTTCATTGTTAAAAATGCTTCCTCTCATTTTTTGTTCCATTCATCTGATATGCTGTATTATTGTGTAATTTTATGCATATTTCTTCATGATAAAGTACTCAGCTTTACTCAGCATCAAGGTGCTAATGTCGGAATCTTTAACCCGATCGACAAACTTTAAAATGTTGTCTTTTATACGGCAGTCATGTGTTTTTAGAGCCAAGCTGGCAGTCATTTTCAATGAGAACAAAGTTGCAATCAAATCAAATTAGTTCCAGTGATTCTGATTAAGTTTAAAACCATTTTTAAGTAGTTTCAGTGATACAGAATTTCTAAGTGGTATTTAACTGCCTATTGAGAATTGCTTTCAATCAATTGCTTCATTATTCCAAGGAAACTAATCGCTCGACTGTTATCTGGATAAAAGTCCAATACTGGGGGTCCTCGATTTGAGTAGGTGTTTTGTTGCAGAAAAATCCTATTCAAATCGAATTATTTACTTTTTGGATGAAAAATGTCGGTTACAAATTTTTTTTTTAAATTTTCTACTCATTAATTTTCGTCACCCAAATCGAATCTATTCAAATCGAGGACCCATAGTATATATTGATCGGGTGACATTCTGAGTTCAGAATCTTCAGCTTTACAGTGTAGACTATCTCAAAATTTCATTAAACTAAAATCTCGTCATTTCATTCTGCATCATTGATCTGAAAAACAATACAGATACTCACACTCCATTTATCCCCTCTTACTCTCTTTGTAGTTCGTAATTCTATCCTTTACACAAAACTTTTCACACAAAATAAAGTTTACAAAATGAAATTAAAGACATCGACAAAGTGTTGTTCGAGTTTCTAAACTTGAAACAGAACAATGGACAGCAAAGAAAGAAAAAATCGAATAAATTTTTGTTCTCCACCTATTTGCTGCTTTTTAAAACAAAGATTTCACTTTCTTTATCGGAAAAATGGCAGAACTGAAAAAAGAATCTGACAATGAATTTTTTTCCACCCTTTTTTCTCTTCTTTTATTTATTTATTCTTACAGATTTTCAGTTCTTCTAGTTTTTTTCTTATGGATTAGAATATGACGAACTAATCTTACTTCATCTGTATGTCCAGTTGTGTCTCTACAGACATCACTCTTTAAAATGCGTTTCCATCCACAAATCATCCGAAACTAGGCATTTTTTTGTTTCTCTGCCTCCATTCACTTCATGTCCTTTGAAAGTTTACTTTAAATAGAATATCTTGGCTTTATTTTTTCCTCTCCTCATCGTTGAATGAAAACAATGACAATGACAATAGTATCGAGAGTGGTAATAGAGTGGAATGAAACGACGAAGCAAGCATCACGAGAGGATGAATAAGAAAAGAATGGAAATTGTTTCGATGTTCAGTGAAATTTCTCGGGGGAGACGAATAGATTCACAAAACAAATTTGTTCTTTTGATGTCTTTCAATGTCCCATTGATGTGATTGTGATCCATTGAAGCTTTCTTTCGTAAGAAATTAACCTACTTTTCATCAGAATTGACCTAAAAAAGGGATTGAATCCACTTTAATAAATCATAATTAAAATTCTTTTGCGTTTCGACTTTTAAAGATCAGGAAGCATTAAAAATAAAAAGAATCTAAAACATAAATCCACTTGAAAGTTTTCAATTCGCAGCTATAGCTAGCTTGGCATTGATGAAAAACAAAAGAAAGAGAGAGAAGGCAAAAATCAATTTACGATCTGAAATTGACTTGGTTGCTGTAAATGCCATTCTTATTATTCTTGATTGAAATTGAAACTTTTAATTGATTTCCATCAGAGGCTTCCTTGTGTGTGTCCCTCAAGTTTCAGATGAATTTTCCAACTCACTTTCCATTGTGTTTTTCGAATTAAAAATTAAATTGAAAAAAGAGAAATGGAAGTTAAGAAGGTTATGAGGTGCTGGAGGGAAAAGCAGCAATTTTCTTTTTCAATAATCTAAGATATATCCCTCGATAGATGAGAAACTGCTGTGGTTAGTAAGCTTGGATAGATATTGACAACAGAAACTATTGATATGGCTTGCATGCTTATACAGGTTGCATATAAATTTATAACCGCCCTTAAAATTTCAAATTTTGAAGAAAAAAAATTCAAATTTATTTTGACAGTTACAAAACTTTTTTCAAAAAGTATCAAAAAAGAATTAAATTTCAAGCACCAGCCAGCTCTAACCTTATCATCTTATTTCAAAATTAAATAAAATTAAAGCAAATAGACAAAATAAATCAGCAATCTCCATAGAATTGAACTATAACAAGCAAGGATAGAGTTTTGAATTGAAACGAATTGAATATTGACTTAAGTGAAGCTTCTCAAGTGTCTCTGCTTGTGAATTATAGAACATAAAAATGTAGTTTAATTAATTT